CATAATTCAAAGGCATCAATTCTTCTTCAGTCTTCCTTATTCATTGTCCAGCTTTCACATGCATATGAGGCAACTGAAAATACCACGGCTTGGGTCAGGTGCACCTTAGTCCTCAAAGTGACATCTTTGCTTTTTAACACTTTAAAGAGATCTTTTGCAGCAGAGTTGTTGTTTGTTAGATATTGCCAAATTCACCTCCAAAAAGGTTGTACCAGTTTGCATGGTCAACAATGTATGAAAGTCTCTCAGTTTCCTCAAAGCCTTGCCAACAGAATTTGCTGTCATAGTTTCTGCCAATCTGGTAAGTAAGAAATGGTATCTTAATGTAATTTTAATTTTTAATTCTGTACTTGTGGGTGACTGTGAAAATGTTGTCATGGTTAAAGGCAATTTTGTCTTTTTTGTGAATTCTCTGTTCATGACTTTTCCCCATTTTTCTATAAAATTTTTGGTTCTTATTCTCTCAGTTTTTAAGCCTTTTATATAATAGGAACATTAGCCCTTTATCTGTGATATGTTCCAGGTTTGTTGGTTATCTTTTTATTTTGTTTATGGTATTATTGCCATACAATTTTTTTGTTTCTATGTAGTCAGATTTATCAATCTTTCATTTTATTGCATCTGGATTTTGAGTCATATATACGATTGTATTAAGTAGAAGTCAGATTTCTTTTACTACACAATAATCTCTAATTATGCATTACCAAGAACATTGATTTAGGCATTAGAGAATGCTAATTTATTAATATTGTCAACTTTTGCAGCTGAATGAACAAATACTGTATTTTTCCAATAAGAAGGGCATCTAAGGAGGAAAAGTATATCCCTTTCAATAGGGCCTTAAAAGGCACTAACAGCGTCTAGCCTAATTGTTGTTGTTAGGTGCTGTCAGGGTGGTTTCCGCTCATAGTGACCCTGTGTATAACAGAACAAAACCCAACCCGGTCCTGCGCCACCCTCACAACCATTGTTATGCTTGAGCCCGTTGTTGCAGCCACTGTTGTTGCAGCCACTGTATCAATCTCCTTGAGGATTTTCCTCTTTTTTGCTGACCCTCTACTTTACCAAGCATGATGTCCTTCTCCAGGAACTGGTCCCTCCTGATAACATGTCCAAAATATGTGAGACAAACGAAGTTCCACCATCCTTGCTTCTAAGGAGCATTCTGGCTGTACTTCTTCTAGCCAATTTTTAATCACTTGTATGCAAAATAACTTTCTCATTTGCAAAACAGCCTTGTTCTGGTTGCTATGGTAGCAAAATAAATTCTAACCAGTGTTTGGACCTTTTTTGTGCTTTCAATAGGATTTCAGCACAATTTGAGCTGAGGATGAAAACAACCAGTCAGCTAGTCTTGGACTGTTTTGTCTTTTGGGAAGGAAAGAAAAGAACACAGCTATCTGGGAATAGTTGATTAAAGAGATTTTAGCCATAGAAGCTGTTGAAACAGAAGGAAGAGCTGAAGTGACATGAATCAAAAACTCCCCTTTCTGTATCATTTATTATTATTATTATTGTGGTAAATACATATGTGACAGATTGCCATTTCACCGTTCTTCAAGTGTTGTATTTTTTAAAGATAATTTAAGATACTGTGCTGAATATCAACGGAAACTAGGAGAGTCAGCATCATCACTGAGGAAGGAAAAAACACATCATATTTTGAATATCTGAAACCATGAACCATATGTCTTAAACACAAAGTCTTTACCATACTTACACAGGAAAAACTTATAAATTTATAAATAGATATCCAGACTAAACGTGGACACTCGGTTTATGGTTCTACTCAGTACTAGAGGAAAATCCTCTGCAGGCCAGTGGATCTTTTGTTTTCAATTTTTCTCAGATATTTTTGTAATGTACTTTTCATGTTATATTAGCAGATGTCATGTATTAAAGTTATCGTGAGGGCAGCTTATTACATTAGAAAGAGCACAACTCATTGGTTCACAAGGTCCTACTTCTTCCGATGTTGAACTAGTTTTGTAATCTTTAGACTGAATTTCTTTATTTGAAAAATAAATGAGAGTAAAACTCTTTTTCATTTTTTTTCCACAGGATTTTTGTGAAGATTAATTTTGATAATGTATGTGAAACACTTCGTAATTATACAGCTTGATTGTAGTATTTATTATTTAAATTACACAATTATTAAGGAATCTAAATATATATTTATTCTCCTCAGATTTTTTCTTATTATGTTTTAGGCCTTTAATGATTGACCCCCAGGGCCAAGCCAATAAGTGGATCAAAAATTCTGAAAAAGAAAATCAGCTTAGTGTTATTAAGCTATCCGATTCAGACTATATGAGAACACTGGAAAATTGTATTCAGTTTGGAACTCCACTTCTATTAGAAAATGTTGGTGAAGAACTGGATCCATCTCTGGAGCCTTTACTACTTAGACAAACTTTTAAACAAGGTAGAATACAATTAATATTAGTTGGTAGAACTGAAAAAATGATTGGATTATATTTGAGGCATGAAAGAAAACCACTAAGTGAATCTAATAATAATGTTAATAATTCAGAATTTCTGTGTGTTACTGTTACGAGTGAAAGAAAGTTTGGAACAAGCTATCAGGAGTGAACATTGGTCAGGTATTCTGAAATAAATGCCTTGCCCTCTCTTCATTACTTGAATCACTGTTATCTAGACTCATAGAGAAACCAGTAAAACTCTGACTTATGGTGATCCCATGTGTGTCACAGTAGAACTGTGCTCCATAGGGCTTTCAATGGCTGATTCTTTGGAAGCAGATCTCCAGGTCTTTCTTCCCAGGCACCTCTGTGTGGACTTTGAACCACCAGCCTTTCAGTTAGCAGCCACATGCGTTAACCATTTACCCACCTGGGGACTCCTGCTGTTCTACAGAGAACACAAAGAAGTTGAAGCCAAACCTGAAATTCCTTTATCTTGTGACCAGGGACTGTACAAAGCCCATTATTATGAAGAGTGATGGTGAATGTGGGCCAGAGTTGACTAGGTAAATTTTGCCCACTTATATCCTTCTTATTATAAAAAAATTTTGGTTCATCTAAACTCTAGAACCTTTAATAACTTTAGTATTATACAAGTAATTTTGGAATCATGATTGAAAATTGATGGAGGAAGGGAGCTCAAAAAGGAATCTTGACTCAGAAGGCTCCATGACAACCAGAGAAATGTCCTCTACTACCCTAGAATGAGTCCTGTTGGATAATTGTATACTTGCCTTGGTGTCTGTGACTTTTGTCACATCTGTTTTCTATTTCAAGCAACTTTGTTGTTGTTGTTAGGTGCCGTCGAGTCGGTCCCAACTCATAGCAACCCCATGCATAACAGAATGAAACACGGCCCAGTCCTGCACCATCCTCCCATTCATATATTCCACGTTCCGATTATTAATGCATGTTTGCAGCTGTTTTCTTCTCATTTTGAGTCATGCTACATCAGCAAATGAAGGTCACAAAAGCTTTACTCTATCCATGTCATTAAAGTTGACTCTACTTTGAGAAGGCAGCTCTTCCCCAGTCATATTTTGAGTGCCTTCAAACCTGAGGGGCTCATCTTCCGGCACTGTATTAGCAATGTTCTGCTGTTACGCATAAGGTTTTCACTGGCCAATTTTTTCTGGAAGTAGACCACCGGGTCCTTCTTCCTAGTCTGTCTTAGTCTGGAAGCTCCACTGAAACCTGTCCACCGTGGGTGACTCTACTGGTATTTGAAATACCTATGGCATAGCTTCCAGCATCACAGCAACACGAAAGCCACCACAGTAGGACAAACTGACCCTTTATTTGTAAGCTAGGCAAAGTCTTAGAAGTACATAAGCAGAGGGACTATGTTACTTTGTCTTATTTATTGTAAATTTGTGTTCTGAAATATAGGTGGCATTGATTGCATCAGACTCGGTGAGGTCACTATTGAGTATTCCTTTGATTTCAAATTTTATATCACCACAAAACTGAGAAATCCACACTACATGCCAGAGCTGGCTACAAAAGTGTCTCTGCTCAATTTCATGATAACTCCAGAAGGACTTGAAGATCAATTACTAGGTATTGTTGTTGCAAAGGAAAGGTATGTTTTTTCCTAGATGCATCCAAATGGTCTAGAGAGGAATATTTGTAGGCCATTAATACTTTTGTTATGTGATTATTTCTAAACTGTATCAAATTTTATATTTTATTATTAGTCAAATAATTTCAGAGTCCTTTACTGTAACCATTCTGAAAACTTAACTTATAATCCAACCATGCTGTATTGATTTTAGTATGTGTAGTATGATTCAAGTGACATGCCATGATTTCTGACTTGTATCTGAGTGTTTGAGCCAGAAATTTCACCCCTAGGAATCAATACAATGGACATAGTTAGAAATGCATTCTAAGACTTATATACAGGATATAAATGAAGTGATAAAATGATAAGGATACAGTATGGGTAATATTTAAAAAAAATACTAACAAATGGATGGATAGATACACATGTAGACGGGGAAACAATACATCAGACCGCTAACAGTGATCGTTACCTGGAATGGTGAGATTTGGGGCAATTTTATTGTTTTCTTCATACTTTATGTATTTTTCTATTACTAGCATGTGTTATTTTTTTAAATGAGAAAATATATTTTGACACCTCGAAGGGCTATTAGGATAGAATTATTTTCTGAAGGAATTCTTTGGTTCTACTTGAAGCTTAATATAACATTATCAAGTGCTCTATTAAGTCAGCATTATAAGTGAAGATGCAGAACAGTGAGGCACTTTAGTTACTTCCAGTGTTTAAATCCCACTTGTACAGTATCCAAGATAGAACCACATTAAGGTGTCTGTGTGCATCTCTCTCTTCCAGTAACTCTAATTATCCTCTCTGACACACACTGCAGATGGACTACTTCTTCCTCTGACCCTAACCACCCATAGCTAGGTCAGATCTCACAAGTTCAAGGGCACAGTCCTCCAGAGTGTAAAGTCTGCCCAAGACTTCAGACACCAGCCACCGCTTGAGGTTCCCTAAAACTAAAAAACCAAACTTGTTGCTGTCGAGTCAATTCTGACTCATAGTGACCCTGTAGGACAGAGTAGAACTGCCCCATAAGGTTTCCAAGGAGTGGCTGAGGGATTCAAACTGCTGACCTTTTGGTTAGCAGCCAAGCTCTTAACCACTGTGCCACCAGGGCCCCTGAGTTTCCTTAAACCAAACCAAACCTGTCGCCGTCTAGTCAATTCTGACTCGTAGTGATCCTATAGGACAGAGTAGAACTGCCTCATAGGGTTTCCAAGGAGCAGCTGGTAGATTCGAACTGTCGACCTTTTTTTCAGCAGCCGTACCTCTTAACGACTGCACCACCAGGGCTCCCCTATGACGTTCCCTAGTGTCCCCTTATTTCTGACCTCTGGCCTACAAACTTGGGGGCTCCTACTACTCCCAGGACATCAGCCATAACCTTGGGGTGCTGGCTACAAATTTAGGAGTTCCTACTATCTCTTCAAGGAACCCTGGTGGCACAGTGGTTAAAGCGCTCAGCTGCTAACCAAAAGATCAGTGGTTCAAACCCACCAGCCACTCAGTGGGAGAAAGATGTGGCAGTCTGTTCTTATAAAAATTTACAGCCTTGGAAACCCTATGGGGGCACTTCTGCTCTGTCCTATAGGGTCACTATGAGCAATGGCAATGGGATTGGTTTTGGTTTGACTACCCTCTCAGGTTCAATATTTCATTGAAATGACTCATAGAACTCAGGAAAACGCTAAACTTATTATTACAGTTTTATTATAGAAAAAAGGTTACAAATCAGGACCAGCATAAAGAAGAGATGCATAGGGCACAGTCTGGAAAGATCTCAAACTTGGAGATTCCATGTCCCAAAGACAGGTTACCCTCTCAAGCTTCGATGACTTTCACCAACCAGGAAACTCACCCAAGCTTCATTGTCCAGAGTTTTTGTTGGGGTTTCATTACGTAGGCATGACTGACTGATCAGCCTGGAGGTGGAGCTGCTGTCACATGGTGGGCCTTTCTGGGATGGCCAGCCCCACCCCCACAAGAGTCGCCTGATTAGCATAACTCATCAGGTGTGGTCTGGAGCCCCTCCGTAAATAACAAAGACTGCAATCACTGTGGAAATTCCAAGAGTTTAGAGAGTGACTCCTGGGACAAGACCAAATTAAAGTTAATGGTACACCCATCCCATGTCATAATATTCTATAACATGGTGGATGTGTTATTTAGATGTTTTATACCATCTTTGTTTATTAAGATATAAGTGCCCGTTTTGCCTTTTACCTGAAGAACCAGTTGTATGAGCAACCATCCTTTCTGTTTTTACTATTGTAGATGATAAAAACGAGACTGAGCGATGACAAAGCCAAACAAGAGATAGGACAGTTCATACTCTGAGCCTCTTCTCCAGTTCTTACTCTCACATAACTGGCTATGCCATATGGATAAACCAAACATATTCTTAAACTTACCGTTGTATAAGCTATTGCTACATTTTACATGTATACAGTTAATGCTTTTTTTTTTCCTTTGCCTTAAATTTCTCAGAATACTGTTACTTGTATGGAAGTAATTTTTCTTTTTTTTGGATTAGGATAAAGAGACATAATCACCTTAGTTTGTGTTACATGTCTGAAAAATTATTTAAATGTCTATAAAATTATGATCCATAATATTTAGATATAAATTTAGATAAAGTACTACAAACTTAGACTAAACGTTTCTATCTTTTTAGACCAGAATTAGAAGAGGAACGAAATGCTCTTATTCTTCAGTCTGCAGCTAATAAGAAACAACTGAAAGACATAGAGAAAAGAATTTTAGAAACATTATCATCTTCAGAAGGGAACATTTTAGAAGATGAAAGTGCAATTAAAGTCTTAGACTCTGCTAAAATGATGTCCAATGAGATAACAAAGAAACAGCAGGTGAAAAAAGAATTCAAGAAATGTTTCAATTCTTAAGATTCTAATTTGCTTCCAGTTCCTGAGGAAAGTGCTGTGCTAGGCTTCCTCGGAAAGAAAAAAGAATTGATAAAATACCAAAACATAGAAACTAATTTTAAAATCACAATATCTCTTACCATTACCAGAGTTATTCAAAACCCGATCTGATCTATGTGGTATCTATACACAGAAGAAATAAATCTAAAATGAAACTTCTAGAAATATTATTATTGGATAGGTAAGGCAGACTAGTCAGATTTATTCAAGTTTTAGTTGACCCTTCAACTAAATATCGAGTTTGAGTATTTAGCTAAATTCTGTACATGACTGGAGCTTGAAATATTTGGGGGTAGCTGCTGGTTGATTGGACAGTAAATTGTTCTGAGAACCACTAGTGATGTTCTGACATTGCTTTATCATTTGTTTGTTGTGAGAGAGGTATAAGAGTCAGGGTTGGCAGGTGGAGGATGGGAGACAAGTCATCTACATCCAATAAGGCATTTGTTGCATATTCAGCTAATACAGCTAAATGATATTTTGATATTACATCCCTTTTTAGAAAATTCTACAGTGTTATAGGTGGAAGAGGCCTTAGTTGTCAGTCATCTTTTGCATTTCATAGTTGAGAAAACTAGGGCCCAGAAAGATTAAGTGCAGCCCAAGTTCACACAATTAAATGATATTACAGAATAACTTCTATATAACAAATTTATTGATTTTCAGACCTTTCGATTCTTCTTGGCCCACCTAATGAATATAGGGTCGCTTTGAGTCAGAATTGATTTGATGGGAATGGGTTTGGGTTTTTGGTAATATTGGGGTAGGAGTCCCTGGGCGGTACAAATGGTTAATGCTCTTGGCTGCTAACAGAGAGCTTGGCAGTTCATATCCACCCACAGGTGCCTCAGAAGAAAGCCCTGATGATCTACTTCTAAAAACTCAGCCACTCAAAATTCTATAGAGCTCACAATTCTACTCTGACACACACAGCGTTGCCTTGAGTTGGAATCCACTCAACAGCAGCTGTCTTCTTGTTTTTTTAACATTGGGTTACTCAGAATCTAAAGAAAAACCTAAATAAAAATTGCACCAGTCACTCAGCATTCCTCCACTATCTCCCACCACCATCCACCCAGCTTTGGGGCAGAAGACTCAGAACATCTAGGCACACTTCCCCTCAGGATGGGTTTGGCTTTGCATGAATGCGATGATGCAACAGCTCCTCCTAGTCAAGTGCACTGTTTTTTAATCTAGGGAGAGCCAGACAAGTAGGGCCTTAGGTGGAAGAGCCGCCCTTTGGGGCCAGGGCTGAGATGTTCTTTTGTGTCTTCCTTCCCAATTCCATCAGAGCAGAACCAACTTCTCATTGTTCTCTCACCAATCTGTTTTTGTTTTAGAGGGGGAGGGAGAATAGGGAGCATTTCACTGCTTGGGTTATTTCTTATTAAGACTAGGGTAAAAAGGAGATATAAGTATCTGTTGGTTCAAGTACTTTATCTTTCAAAGAGAGAGAAATTTAATAAATTATAGTATCTTTCTGACTGGGTGCCATTGATCATTACAAACTTTAGTTTTTAATTTATTACGTATTTTGATCCAAAACTTACTGTATATCTCGCCCTGATTTCTATTTCACCCCTTCCGCCCACACCCAATGTGAGAAAACCATCTTCAGAGGAAGGTTCCATTATATAGTCCAAAGCTGTTTCTCTTTTTCATCATAACCCACAAAATTAAACAAACAAAACTTTAAGAATTTCTTCTACAAGTTTCAAAGCTCTCTCCCTTACTTCCCTCAAATTTTCTGAACTGTAGTTTAATCTTTTTGATCTTGAAAAGTTTAATACATATAAATATCACAGACCAGGAAATTTTTACAAACAATGAATTGTCCTCTTTTAACATCTCTAACATATACTTACGATGTTTATTTCTTGGAAAACTTCTCGTTCCTTGACTTGAGGACATTAATAGTAAATGATAAAAAGAAACTGTATTTATATTTCTTGAGTCTAGTATTTCACAGTAAGGACTCAAGCTTAGCAAAAACACTGTTTATAAATATACTGCATATCAATCCTTGGAATATGAGTTAAATTATTAAGTACTATTTAGAAATAATAACAATATTTGCTTTTTTTTCCCTTGCCGTTATTATTAATGGTAAAATGGCATTTGAGTTGAAAAGTCAAGGTTTAAATAGAAGAATCAGTGGGAATACTAAGATTGTGCTTTCATATGTAAATGTCATTAATTGCTGTGGTTGATAACTGTTTTACTTATTTATGGTCAAGATGGAGGTACAAAACTTACTTTTTTAGTTCATTTGTGGTTATACTGTATAATTTTTGGAAAAGTGTGTTTGCAAGGAACAGAAACCCACTCAAATTAGCTTAAATAAAAAAGATACTAGGGTATATTTTATAACCCAATTACAGGAAGTACACTCAGGAATAAATGGAAAGCATTAAGTTGCTATACCCCCTGTCTCTCCCCATCTCTTTGGGCTGTGTGGTCCTCATCTGTGCTACTCTCTGCACCATCTGAAGACCAATTTCTTCTGTAAAACTTTTGTATCGGTTCCCTTGTATATTCATCTTGCATATAGAAACCAACTCTGGCCCCATTACCTTTTAGTGCTAATGCCCAGTACCACCTGACTTCAGCTTCTGAGGCTTCTGCCTCTGGGTGGGTTCGAACTGACAACCTTTCAACTGGTAGTCGAGTGCTTAACTGTTTGTGCCACCCAGGGACTCCTGATTTACCTTTTTTCTGTAGTTATTTGTCTATTCGAGTTATTTCATAGAAGTGGGATCATACAATATTTGTCCTTTTGTGTCTAGCTGATTTCACCTAGCATAATGTTTTCAAGGTTCATTCATGTGCTAGCATGTATTAGAACTTTACACTGTTTTATGACGGAATAATATTCCATAGCCAACAAATATTTTTGAGTAGCTACTTTGCCAGACGTTGTGTTGTGCTCTGGTAAACATTTTGACACATTAAACATATACACGTGCGTGCTGTCTCTCTGACCTATTAAAAGGAGGTGAATGACTACAGTAGACACATGTCATGGTCAGGCACAGAATAAGCAAGGACTGGCAGCTCTGGTACTCCTCAAATAAGAAAGAGATGGTGGTTAATCACACCTTTAATCTGTAAAGCGGTTTTTCTTTCTTTTCTTCCTTCCTCTGTCCCTTTCTCCCTCCCTCTTTCCTTCCTTTCTCCCTTTCTTCCTTTCCCTTTCTTTCTTTCTAGCATTTAGCATGGTAAGGCCCTTTTTTATAAACTTTGGGATTGGGCTAGGAGATATTTTTTGTAAATTCTTTATTTTTTAATCCTCATTTTTCTCCTCTTCTACTAGATTGCAGAAAAAACAGAACTCAAGATAGCAGAGTCTCGAGAAGGCTATAGACCCATCGCTAAACATTCATCAGTGTTATTCTTTAGCATTGCAGACCTGGCTAACATTGATCCCATGTACCAGTACTCACTTAGCTGGTTTGTGAACCTCTATATCAACTCTATTCATGACAGGTAAACATTACCTAGCTTCATTTATCCTCACCTTGCTTCTCATTTAAAAAATTTAACTTTTTTTCTTATTATTTTTATAATAATATTCATTATAGAGCGTTTAGAAAATATGGAAAAATGAAAGAAAGGAAGAGGGAAAGGCAGACAATTAAGCCTTCTTCCTATTTTAAGTTGTGTTTTACTCCTTCTCAAGATCAAGATTTAGGCATAGAGAGGTTAGTTTTGGTCCTTTTTTTTTTTTTTAAATCTCTCTTTTAAATATTTCAATAAGGCACATGACTTACTTTTGCTGGCAACTCAAATATATCTTTCTTTAGTCTGGAGGTCTCTGTAAGGCTTCAGTCCCATATTTCTGATAGTTTGCTAGATATTTTCACTTTATACAATTAATGAATGTATACAGATTTTAGGTTTATGCTGGAGTCAGGCATTATATCTTAGTTCTGCAACATACTGGCTGTGTGACCACAGGCTCAAGACAGTTAGCCTTTCCGTAAATGACTCAATTTTCCTGACCTGCAAAATAAGGATAGTAATAGTTCCTAAATTATAGAGTTGTTATGAGAATTAAATGAGATACTATTTGTAAAGAGTAGTGGTTAAGAGCTACGGCTGCTAACCAAAAGGTTGGCAGTTTGAATCTCCCAGGCACTCCTTGGAAACCCTGTGGGGCAGTTCTACTGTGTCCTGTAGAATCACTATGAGTTGGAATAGACTTGACAGCAACGGGTTTGGTTTGTTGTTTTGTTTTGTTTTTTTACATACATGCTAAAAGGAGCCCTGGTGGCACTGTGCTTGGCTGCTAACTGAAAAAGGTCAGCAGTTCAAACCTACCAGCTACTCCACAGGAGAAAGATGTGATATTCTGCTTCCTAAAAGATTACAGCCTTGGAAACCCTATGGGGCAGTTCTACTCTGTTCTGTAGGATCACTGTGAATTGTAATTGACTTGAGGGCAATGGGTTTGGTTGGGGTTATACATGCTAAGTAAAATAAAAATTTGATTGAGTCTATCATATGTACTATAAGAAATTTGTTTCTACATGGGCTCTTGATAGAATAATCTCTCTTGAGTGATTGAAATCCCTAAATTGCCTCAGTTGGGATTTGGAATTTGAATTTATGCAACCCATATAATGGAAGAAATTCAAGTTAAGGAATTGGCATAAATGTTGGTTCCAGACTGTGACCCCCAAAGTCATCTAGGGGCTTGGGAGATTTAAACACATAACTACTCTGGAGGGACACTTCCACAACCGAGGCTACTCAGGTTTTCCACATAAGAAATAATTCCCATTAATGATGAGCTCACTGTAAAAAATTAGAAAACAAATTAAAAAATGAACTACCATGAAAGAGAGTCAGCATACAAGACAAATGAGGATTAGCATTCTCAATAACTTATGATAATTTTTTAAGATCTGTAAAAAGAACAAAAATATGTATGTTTTGAATATTAAAGAGATGAAAGCAAAATAGAAAACTTAAGAAAAGGGTGAGATACAATGAAAAGAGAGTAAGAGATCTGCAAATGATCCAAAGGAAACTTTTTGAAATTTAAGAAAACAAGAAAACCCAGAGTCACTGGAATTTAAAAACGGGAGAGAGGTAGATTTCTGCTTCTCACCACTATACAGTAGCTTGTATCTAACTGTCTCCATTATGAACAAGTATAAAAGCCTTCAAAGCACTGGAGAGTAACCAGTGAGATCAGGATTTGAGGAACCAAGATACTGGAGAGAGGAAATGCACACCAAGTTGAGCCCCACATTGACTTTCAGTTTTTCCCTTAGCGTATTTGCTGATTCTCAGTGCAAGGGAACAGAGGCAAAGTGGAAAGCAGTAATCTAGGGCTGGTGATAGTCTAATTGGACTGAGGAGCCAGAGGTTGGAGTTTGGGGCTGCCAACATGGCTGGAAGTTGAGGGGACAAGATCCTGGAGAGGAGGGAAGAGCAGAGTAGGGAAACAAGGAAGAAAGCTGCAGCTAGAAGGACAAAGAACTATGCAGAAACTTCGTGGGGCTGGGAAGACAGAAATTGAAGTTCAGAGCCTGACAAGATGGAGGAGTACTGGAACACATTCAGTTGAGATCTCGGGAAGAGCTATTTCCTAGGAGTATGGGGAATAGAGCAAACATAGCAAAGTGTGAAGCCTAGCCTTGGCTAGATCTGCCCATGCCCCCTCTCTCTCTGCTTGTCAGAGAATTAAACACTCTCTGGAGGAAGATACACTATTCAGATCCCCTACAGTTTCTCACACACTATGTCCAGTATTCAGTAAAAGTTTACCAGGCATGCCAAGAAACAAGCAAATGGCTAAATCCAAGTGAAAAACAGGTGTCTTAGGCTGGGTTCGCTAGAGAAGAAAACCAGTAAAGTGTATAAATATATATATAGAGAGAGATTATATCAAGGAAACAGCTCATGTGATTGTAGAGGCTAGAACGTCCCAAGTCTGTGGATCAGGGTGGAGGCCTCTCCCAAGTCACACAGCTGCAGAAGCTGGCAAGCGCAAGATCAGCAGGTCAGAGAGCAGGGCTCCTGCTCACAGGCTGTGTAGCTCGACGAATCCCAGGTTCAGCAGATAAGCTGACAGCTCAAGTCCCAAGAACGGGAGATGAGATGGCAGGAAGCAGCCACAGGATCCAGAGAGAGCGAAAAGCCAGAACGTCTGCTTATATACAGATGTGGGCCACACACCCAAGGAGACTCCCTTTCATCTGATTGGCTACTCACAGTATATTCAATCATAGGAGTGATTACATTAAAACACTGAGAATCATGGCCCAGCCAAGTTGATACACAATCTTGACCATCACAACAGGCAATAGAAATAGACCAACAGGTGATACAGATAGTGTAGTTATCATTTAGTTTCTTTAAAATAACTGTTATCAATATGCTGAAGAAAATAGAGACAAATTTCACCAGAAACTTGGAATTTGTTTTTAAAAGGATTAAATGGAAATTCTAGAACCAGTATATGCCATGATTGAAATTAAGAACTCAATATATGGTTTAATAGCTGATTAAATAAAGCAAAAGAGAAGATTAGTGAAGTGGTTTATTGGTTAGAAGAAAATATACAGATTGGAGCACAGAGAAAAGGGGACATAGTGCAAAGTTCTATCATATGTGTAACTGCAATCCTATATAGAAAGGAAAGAGAGAATAGTACAAAGTTTTTATTTAAAGAAGTACATGCAGAGAATTTTCCACAAGTAGTAAAAGCATGAAGACTTCTAGCTTCTAGTTCAGTGAGTAGCGCCTGGAGTCTTAAAAGCTTTTGAGCAGCCACTTGAGATACAACAGTTGGTCTCTATTCACCTGAACAGCAGAGGAAGAAGGAAACCCAGGAATCGAAGAAGGAAATGCACTCCAAAGTTTAATTGCCTCCATGAGCTACTACTTCCTCTGCTATGACACCAGAAGAAATGAATGGTGCTTGTCCTACATTACTGAATATTATAATCACGGACCCAATCGATGGATCCTGATCAAAAGGAAGATAATTGGGGAACAGAACTGCAAATTCATATGGAAACCAGACTTACTGGATCCACTGACTGGGGGAACCCCAGAATATATTGCCCAGAAATAATCTTTAAACCTTGAACCAGAACTCTCCCATGAAGCCATTGTTAAACTAAATAGTGGTTTAGCTCAATAAAGAATGTTTGCCTTGAGCATTGTGCTCTTATAAAGAATTATCTGTGTGAGTTCCAACTGACAACAGTTAATCTAAAGCACAGATGAGAACTTTAAGGGGTAGAGAGTCTAAATTAACGGTGATGTAACAATATGGGTAGATGTAGTTACAATGGTGGCACATTGTGAAGTATATAACCACTGTCACTGAACTGCATGTGTAGAAACTGTGAATGGACATATATTTGGTTGTGTATATTGCCACCAAATACTTAAAAAACAAACAAACAAACAAACAAACCATGAAGCCGTAGATTTGGGAAGGCCTAAAAATCGCAAGCAAAATTTCAAAAAAAAAACAAACCTTTAGAGCCATAATGAGATATCGTTTCATACCCACAAGGATGGCTTGAAAAAAAAAAAAAAGATAACAAGTATTGGTGAGGATTTGAAAAAAATCAGAACCCTTATATATTGTTAGTGGGATTTTAAAATGGTACAGCCACTTTGGAAAACATTTTGGCAGTTCCTCAAAATATTAAACATAGATTTACTGTATAACCTAGCAATTCCACTCATAGGTATATACCCAAGGGAATTAAACACACATGTCCACACAAAAACTTACGGTTATTTTTGTTTTTAAACAGAAAATACTGTATTCAGAAGTTACTTGGGTTAGTTTTTCCCCCCTCCAGTATGCTAATGCTATTCATGTGAAATACAGTTAGCTTTATTTATTTTTGTATTTCATTTTAGTGTTTTCTTCTCATCCTTGTTGATTTTAATTTTAATTTTATTATATTTTTAAGTGCATAAAACATTAATATGATTACAGAAGTCAATCTTGTACAAAAAGATGACTATCCCCAACCTTTCCACACCATTCCCATAGACTTAAAACCAAAAAACCAAACCCATTGCTGTCAAGTAGATTCCAAATCATAGCAACACTATAGGACAGAGTATAACTGCCCCATAGAATTTCTAAGGAGCAGCTGATGGATTCGAACTGCCGACATTTTGGTTAGCAGCTGAGCTCTTAACCATTACGCCACCAAGGCTCCCCCATAGACTTAAGTATTACTTTTTTAAAATTCAATTTCTAACGTTGGGATAATTGTAGATTCACATGCAATTGTAAGAAATAATACAGGGAAGTTCGGTGTACCCTTTAGCCAGTTTCCCACAATGCAAAACTATAATACAGCCACAGCCAGGATTTTGACATTGATACAATCAAGATGCAGAACAGTTCCACGAACAATAACCAAAAAATGAGTTTATGGTCACATATGTATTTGTATAGGCATATATGTGTACAGGTAGGTACCGGTGTGTACATATGTGTGCACAGATAGAAGTATCTATATGTATGTGTACATACAGATATGTGTGTGCATGTATATATATTCATAGAGGACACAGTTACAGATACTTCTCAGACATAACCAAACACCTTGTGACATTGGTTTTCCGGGTTTGAAGGCTAAGACCTTAGTCTTGTGGGACAACTCAATTGGCTTAATATAGTCCCAGAGTTCATGTGCTGCATCCTAGTGAGGTGACTAGTGTCTGAGGTCTTAAAAGCTCACAAGTAGCCATCTAAGATACAACTGTTGATCTCTACTCATCAGAAGCAAAAGAGAAAAAAAGAAATCAGAATCTCAGAGAAGAAACTAGAGTACAGGGCTAATAGCCTACACAAGCCACAACCTCATCTACTCTGAAACCAGAAGAACTAGATGGTGCCCAGCTACCACTACCAACCATTCTGATCAAGGCCACAATAGATGGACCTGACAGAATGTGAGAAAAACAGAACAGAATAAAAAAGATACAGAACAGTTCTATAATCACAAGATCCCTTATGTTGCGATTTTATTACCACACCTACTTCCCTACCACCTCCATTCCCTCCTTAACTCCTGTCAACCACAAATCTGTTCTCCATTTCTGTAATTTTGTCATTTTAAGAATGTTATATAAATGGAATTACCCTATGTTTATGCAAATAACATGCATGTTATACGTCTTTTTTTGCCAACTGTGCAACCCCTTCACACATTATTTTCCTAAGCATGCTATGCACATTTTATGTGTGGGTGTGTTATTTGCAAAAAATACAGTATACAGTATGTAACATTTTTGGGATTGGCTTTTTTTGCTCAGCATAATTCCCTGGAGATTCATCTAGGTTGTTGCATGTACCATTTTTTTTTGTTGTTGCTGACAAGTATTCTGTGATATGGATGGATATCTGGGTTATTTCCAGTTTTGAGCTATTATGAATAAAGCTGCTATAAACTTTCATATACAAGTTTTTGTGTGAATGTAAGGTTTCATTTTTCTGACATAAATACTCAGGAGTGCAACTGCTGGGTCATGTGGTAGTTACTTGTTTAGTTTTTAAAGAAACTTCCAAACTGTTATTCAGAATGACTGTATCATTTTATATTCTCACAAATATTACTTGTAAAAAATTGAACTAAAAAATGCTTATTGCAAAATTTTTAAAAATACAAAAAAGTATAAAGAAGAAAACAAATATCGGTCATAACCCTACCTGAAATAACCACTTTTGCCTATGTTTTTTCTGGCTTTTAATGTGTAATTTTAACGTGTAGATCTTTATCTAGATTTTAAGCTTCTTTGGGGCAGATGAATGTTTCATCCTTCTTTGTCTCTTACATTTCTCTGTCTAGCATACAACCTCAAGCTAATACAGCTTCAATACGTATTCTCAATTAACTGACTGTTTTCAGTCATTTTGGGGTAGAATAAGAAATGTATGATTTTGGAAATAGTGTAAACCATATTTCACTTTCTCATAGGATTATGCCCTATTTTTTTAAAAAACTTTTTATTTTGAAATACTTACAGATTCACAAGAAACTTCTAAAAAAATGTATAATGAGGTCTCCTATACCCTTCACACAGTTTTTCCAATGGTAACATCTTGTATAACTGTAGTACAATATCATAACCAGGAAATTGGCATTGGTACAATCCATAGAGTTTATTCACATTTCACCAGTTATACATGCACTCATTTCTGTGTGTGTGTGTGTGTGTGCACGTGTGCAGTTCCACATGCAGTATGTTTTTAATGCTGGATAAAATTAAAGTAGCTTATATTTTAATTCATGTGTTACTTGTTTTTTCTTAGTTTTGTTTTGACTCAGTATATTTTCCTTTTTTTTTTTTTAACCTTTTAGTAACAAATCCAAAATTTTGGAAAAACGCCTACGATATTTAAATGACCACTTCACATACAACTTATATTGTAATATATGCCGATCACTATTTGAGAAGGACAAGCTGTTATTTTCCTTTTTATTATGTGCCAACCTTCTGCTGTAAGTTACTTATTTTTTCTTAATTAATTTATTCAGAAAACCTACTAGGAGGACCTAATCTTAAAAATATGACTTCTCGCAGAAGAATATCTTGTTTTTGTACTGCTTAATTCATGATTTTACTTGTGCATTTCACTGATAGCAGCGGCTTCTACAATAGTGTTAGTGTTTTGATGTTAATTTGATTTTAAAAATTTAGATCATATAGAAAAATTTACAAAATGTTAACGTACAGTTCAATAAATTCTTACAAAGTGAAAATCTGTGTAACCACCATCCAGGTCAAGAAATAGAATGTTCCCATCATTCCTGAGGCACTTCTTGTACTCATTCTCAATTACCCATCCTCTTTCTCCTCCCCAAAGGTAATGGCTATCCTGACTTTTAACACTGCAGTTTAGTTTTGCCTTTATATGAATAAAAACAAATAGTATGTATTCTTTTATCTGACTTCTTTTCCTCAAAATTATGCTGATGAGGTTTATCCATGTTGTTATGAGAGGCTGTAGTTTACTTGTTTTCATTACCTCATCGCTAGGTGGTACAAAAGGTTAAGGAGTGGACAACTAGCCCAAAGGTTGGTGGTTCAAACCCACCCAGAGGCGTCTTGAAGATAGGCCTGGCAATCTGCTTCCAAAAGGCTGCAGCACACATGGGGTTGCCATGAGTCAGAACTGATTCGATGGCAGCTAACAACAGCAGCATTTCATTATAAGAATACACCACAATTTTATCATGTCAACTGTAGAACATTTGGGTTATTTCCATTTGGAGCTATTAAAAATAATGTTTCTATGAACATTCTATTATATAGCTCTTGGTGCACATG